CATACACAGATCAAGATATGAAATTTCAAGAAACGCAAAAGTTATTAGAACGTGGTCAAATTGAAGAATCAACTTCTCCGTGGTCGTCACCTATAGTTCTTGTTAAGAAGAAAGATAAAACTATGCGATTTTGTATTGATTATCGACGTCTAAATGCTATTACAATTAAAGATGCATTTCCACTTCCTCGAATCGATGAAATATTTGATCAATTATCTGATGCCGTATATTATACCAAATTTGATTTTAAATCTGGTTATTTCCAGGTACCTCTCTCTAAAGAGGACCGTCCGAAAACTGCATTTTCAACTCGCGATAATCATTATCAATTTACAGTACTTCCACAAGGTATTACCAACGGACCCGCAACATTTCAACGTGTAATTAATCATATACTAGGACCTGCAAGATGGAAATATGCATTAGCTTATATCGATGATGTAATTATATATTCGAAAACATTCGAAGAACATTTAATCCATCTTAACGATATTTGTACAATGTTAAAAAATGCTCGATTTCGTCTTAATCCGGAAAAATGTGAAATTGCTCAAACTCAAACAGATTATCTTGGTCATAATGTAAAAAGTGGTGAAACTCGTCCGAGTTCGAATAACATCAATGGACTATTAAATACAAGATTACCACAAACGGCAGATGAAGCTTGCAAATTCGTTAAAGCAGCTGAATATTATAGAAAATTTATTCCAAACTTTTCACATACTGCTGAACCACTTCGAAAATTTGTTCCAACTACAAGAACTCAACAAAAGAAAGGACAAAAAACTATCATTACATTAACCGATGATGAATTAAAAGCATTCAATCAACTTAAACAATTTCTTACAACAGATATGGTATTATGACTTCCAAATAACAGATTCCCTTTCAAAGTACAAACTGATGCATCGGATGAGGGAATCGGTGCAGTATTATTGCAAATTTATCCTGAAGGAGATAGACCCATTGCATATCTATCAAAGAAATTTACTCAAGCACAACGTAAATGGTTTCCAATGGAACAAGAATGTTATGCTTTTATTTGTTCATTAGATAAATGGCATAATTATTTAAGCGGAATTAAATTTGAATGGGAAACTGATCATAAAGCATTAACACAATTAAATCAAAAAGCACAAATTAATAAACGATGCGAGCGTTGGAGATTAGAAATCTTAGAATATGATTTCAAAGTTAAACACATTCCTGGTTTAACAAATACAATGCCTGATTATCTATCAAGATCTCCAATCGATGAAGCTGAAGAAGATCCTGATGAAATTTCACTTCTTATTTCAAAATCAACACAAGCCGATTTTTTAGACATTAATAATCATTCATCCATCGTCACAGCTGTTCAAACTCGTGCTATGAAATTACGGAATCAATCTTTAAATGATAAAAATGATACAGCAATATTGCCGTCAGATACTCTAAATAAAGAGAATCGAACAATTCCAATTTCAATCGAACAGTTAATACAAGCTCAACAAAATGATAATTATGCAAAAAAAAATTTGAATAATATCAAAATTATAAACATTATATTATAAATGATAATCTTTTAATGCGTCGTACAAATCCTCCGGTTCCTTACGTACCACAAGGTGATCTTCGAAAAACAATTTAAAATATTTATCACGATACTGCAGCCAATGGTGCTCACTTCGGAAGAGATAAAACTATGTACAAAATTAAGCAACGTTATTTTTGGCCTTCAATGTATAAAGACATTGATAATTATGTTAAATCATGCATTTTATGTGCACAATTTAATCCTCGTCGACAAAAAGCTCCTGGTACATTAAAACCTATTCAACCTCCCGATGGAGTTTGGCAATTAGTAGCTATGGATTATCATGGACCTATTACTCCAACAACTCAACGTGGAAATAAATATATTATATCTCTTACCGATGTATTATCAAAATTCGTTATTACAAAAGCCGTACGTGATAATACGACTCATACAGCTGTTAGATTTCTTAAAGAAGATGTTATTTCAAAATTTGGAACACCTCGATGTATTCTTACCGATAACGGAACGCATTTCACATCAACAATGATGGATGAATTAATTAAACAAATTGGAACAACACATCTTTATTCAACACCTTATCATCCGCAAACAAATGGTCAAGTTGAACGATGCAATTCAACAATGGATGCAAAGATCGCAGCTTTATCAAATTTACGCAAAGCCGATTGGGATGATCAATTACCATTTGTAACATTTAATTACAATACATCAATTCATTCGTCAACCAAACAAATACCGTTCGAAATGATGTATGGTCGATCACCTGTGTTACCATTTGATCATCAAAATACACATGTTACATTATCATATGATCCCGAACATTCGAAGAAATTAAATCAATTTTTATTGAAATTAAATGAACAAGCGAAAATAAATATTATAAAAAATCAAGAACGATACAAACAACGTTATGATGTAAATCGTTCAAATCCCACGTACAAAATCGGCGATTTAGTTCTTTGCAAAACACTCAACATTCGTCATAAATTCGACATTCGTTACGAAGGACCGTTTAAAATTATTTCACAACTCACACCGAAAACATTTATCATTCAACACGTAAAAAAATTAACATTATATCGTCAAGTTACGACCGACGTGTTACTTCCAATATTCGAACGCAATTATTCATAACGGGACCTCTTACATAGAGATCCATTCAACAAAATATGTCAAACTAATGGAATAATTAACTGTTGTTAGATGTACTTTACATGATATGATTTAGCATAGCATGATCGGGGAGCATGAATTTCCCTCACTCACTGATTATGAAGGGCTATTATATTTAATTTGGAACATTAGCAATAAAAAATTAATATTCTATTACACGAAACTTATTATTGATTAAATAATTTAATTGATGATTTTTTATCAGATTCTCATATGGCCATTGTGAATCGAAATAGAATAGACGATTTCGTAACTTTTATGATTGGCATATCTCATTATTTTTCCATATATTGTTAACTGTTATTTTTCTTTTTCTTTTGTTATATTTCTCATATTGAACGTTATATTTAAATGTTAAAACAATCGTTATATTATAAACATTTGTTATACTTTGTTTTTGTTTAATTTCTATTCTTCAGTCATTCCATAAAAATGTTGATAAGACACATTTTTTCATCAAATATGGGAGTATGTTACAGTGACGTCGCTAGTATACACGCTCGACATATATGTATTATCCTCTATCATCTTCTTTAATCTTCATTTGTCTTTTCTCTTTTCTCTTCTCTCTTTTCCTCTCTCTTCTCTTGTCGTTCTCGCTATATATATCATGTAACATCGAATAAAGGACATTCTTGTTAAATAAACTTAACGTACACGTTGTACGCATAAGCATACTTCTCTCACATTTATCTCACAATATAGCAGCTACCATAGGATAATGCATCGGTTACTGATAAATCAAGTTTTTCTTCGAAAGATAGTTTGAAATTACCTACTGGCATAAGCATTTCGTCAAAAAGGTAAAAAAACAATTTCATCGTTGACTTCACGCAATCCTATGTTTTAGCCAATGTTGTGTGTGTAGAATTCAAATGGTTCCACCAACAGTCACTATTAAAAAGGAAGATCGAAGCAATATCTTTATTCGTCGAAATATCTTTATCCGAAAAGGATCACGCTACTGCAAAATTCATGCTTCAAATGGATATTTATTACGTGAAGACTTTTTCAAATTGACTGCTTACAAAGACGATTATAGAATATTCAATCTTAATTATATTGTGAACACTATGCAAAAACTGCGAAAAATGGCCAATAGTAATAAAAATGTAGATCTCGATGATCCTTTATCGTTATCAGACATCGAATACAAAAACCTCACTGGCTTTACGCGAACACAGCATGATCGTGTTCTCTCATATATTCCCGCAAGTGCTCTAAAAACCTCTATCAATCGATCTCCTCGCTGTGCCATCGCATGCTTACTTATGAAATTAAGGCTTGGGGTGAGCAATTCCGTACTTGCTTCGATGCTGGGCATTGACAACAAACGCAAAGTGACTGATA